AAAAGGCAAATATAGGTATTTGTATTTAAAACAAAAGAGATCGCCAAACTATACATAAAGGTCCATGCCACATATACATATATGCATGTATATACGTACATGCGTGCACATGCAGACATACTTATATACATGCATACATACATACATACATACATACATTGTTACATACAGACATATACTCCTACATGTAGAGTCTGATACACACAGAGTAGCTGTATACATGTGAGTATACATGTCTGCACACACGTAGTGGAATCATTTGTTTTCGTATGATACACACATACATATATTGAAACCAGGTGTTGAATCGTACGCACACACACCTATATATATATATATATACATAAACTATGTGTTTTATGTTGGTACGTCCAGGTATAGAAACACCTGAACCCCAAAAAGAAAGCATGGGCTGGTCCACCCATCCTGGGAGCTGATCCAGACTTCGGGCATTGCCGGGGAGAGGGAGGGGGGTTTGGGGTTTAGGGTTTAGGGTTTAGGAGGCTGTCTGAGGACAGCGGGCGCGCGCAGAGGAGGGAGGAGAGCTGGGCCGGTGGGTCTTGGGGGTTTTTCCCACCCTCCCTCCGATTCGATAAACATAGCAAAACACAGAGTGCGAAAAACACGGGGCACCACAGCGCACCTTTCGGTGAAATTTGTGTTCGCGGCTTGCTGTTTTCAGCGACCCAAGCGAGGCCTCCACAAGAAGCATGGAAAGCGTTTGTTTGTACGGCTCTCGATGCTTTTGCTTCGAAAGGAGTCGGGAGTTCTTGTTCGGGTGTGCAAACGGCTCACGGAGCTGTTGCAGCAGGGCATGCAGCAGGCGGGCATCAGGGCCAAGGGCACATGCAGGAGTTTGTAGGAAAGAGGTACTTGTAGCTCGAATGATTTGTGTTCCCTCTTGGAGGGAAGCAGCAGCAAAGACAGCATCCAGCAGTTGATCATCGAGCATGGGGTGGTTCCCATCGTGGAAATGCTTCAAGTCACGGACCCGATGCTGCTCCGGCAGGTCTTGAAAGTGGTGAACCAGATTGTTGCAGAATGGAATCATGACTTCCAGGAGCTCTTCAGCATGGTCGGACTGATCCCCGGCGTTATCAAGTTTGCTGGATCTGAGTTTGCCCGCGACTTGCGGGTAGAGGCTGGTACCTTCATCTCCCGGCTCTGCAGCTCGGGGTCCAGCAGCCTTCAGATGCTTATAGCCTGCGGTGGACTGGAGGCCATTGTGGATCTCATCTCCTACGACTACTACCAGAATCGGGACTTGGTCTGGAACGCACTGGATGCAGTGAATACAGTGAAGAATAAGAAGAGCAGCCATAGCCGAGATCTCTGCCGGATCCTCGCGAAGCGTGGCCTTTGTGGGCACCTTGTCCTTTTGATCGACAATCTGGCCACAGACATCCAGGACCTCCTTTATCAAAGCCTACTAGTAGCATTATAATCGCTGTCTCGTGGTGTTTTCTATCGTCTAATTGAAATCGTGATTCCAGGAAAAGGCCGCCCACTATTTGCAGGAGGTTATCAGAATCCTTGGCTTTTTTGCCAAGACCGGAGATTCTGTGGTCAAGGCCTACATGGCCAAAGCGCCCGTGCTGGAGGGGCTTATTGCTTCGCTTGAGTACTTGCCGCCCCCTTTGGCGGCTGAAGTCTGTAGGATTTTCAAGCACCTTTCTCAAGAGCCGTCCGTCCTCAACATGATGGAGAACGTTGGGCTCGTCCCTGTTCTGGTTTACCACATGAAGTTGCACAGCATCTTCGAGAAGGGGACTTGGGACGGCACGGAGAAGGACCTCGAGAACGAGAAAGCCCAAGATGCCTGTAGCCAGTGCTTGCTGGCACTCTCGAACCTTTGCAAACTCTCGCGCCCTCGGCAAGAGCAGGCCGCCTTAGCCGGTGCCATTCCAAAGCTGCAAGCTTTGGTTGAAAGAGGTCATCCTTTGCAGGAGTACGCTTTCGTGATGATCTGTGACATGGCTTGCGCTTCCTTGGCCACACGGAAGTCCTTATGGACAGAGGACGGTGGGCCTTTCCTTGTTCGAAGCCTGGCCGTGCCTGAGACGCAGGTCCCGGCTCTTGAGGCCTTAGTTGGCTGGTTTGGTGTGAAGGAGCACAAGGCAAACTGGTGTGAGCGCCTGGAGGGCAAGCTGCTAAAGGGCCCCGACTTCCTCATGCGCCTGTTTGCGCTGCCTCCCGGCCAAGTTTGGGGAGCCTAGGGTCACCCACCGAAAGTCTCTTTGTGTTTGGGGAGGGATCGCAATGAATTTGCAGGTTCCGGAGCGAGGACAAGGATGTATTTCTGAAGATCTTGGACCCCTTGGTGAAGTTGGTGAGGATCTCCTCCGAGACCAACGCTGCGCTGGCGAATAGCGACCAGTTTCTGGCCGAGCTCCTCCGGAGGTTCTTACTTGGGGCTTGCAGAGATTATCGGATCATTTAGGGTACTGCCATGTCTGTTTCACCCCCGCAGGTTAGAGGGCGAAGGCAACAGCGACAGTCCCGATGCGAGCAGAGTGGCCAGCAGCGCGCGGTTCAACTCTGACGACTTCTTCGGCAACCCTGGACTAGGGAGAGCTGCTCTCGAGGAGACGAGCCTCAACGGCGTGCGCCGACTTGTCTCCGCACAGCCCGGCGCTCTCGCCGACAATTCTGTGCGAGCACGGCAAACTCTCCTGCGGCTGCTCTTGCAGCTTTGTCAGCCCTTGAGCAAGCCGCAACTGGCCGCGCTGGTGCAGCGCTTCCGCCTGAAATCCCACTTGCAGCGCGTTCTGGCAGAGGAGCGGCGCAAACAGCGCGTGATTCTCAGCGCCATCGCGTCGCAGCTCCTGGCAATGTTCATGGAAGCCGCCCCAGGAGATTTGGACATCAACCCGAACGTAGTGTAGCCTGCAGAGCTCAAAGTGGCCTGCATGAGAAGCAGCCAGCGTTCGCGGTCAAATTGTTGATGTCTTTGCGATTGCCACTCTTGAACACTAGCCAGCCTTGAACGAATGCCAGTCCAGGGATCAGAACTAGGGTAACTAGGGTATTTCGGCCGAGTTCTGAGTATGCATGCACCGGAGAATCTACAGAGATGCTATCGGTCATTACCTTGACTGGATTCAGAGGAGTACCTCAAAGCCCACGTTCCCACTTCCACCAGATCGCAAATTTCTTCGACCTTGGACTTCCTGAACATCTCAGACCAGCCGTAGAAGCTGCATCCCCGAGTCCCCGAGCCGTGCATAGCTGAGGACCCGACGCTGTACCGGAGGAGAGAGCCGGAGAGCCGCTCCTTCGGCAGCAAAAAACTTCTACAATGAGCCTGACCAATTGCCTGCACACACACACACACACACACACACACTTACTTGTGCATCGGGTAGTTGACACGAGAGGCTGACCTTTTCGTGTTTTGTGGATGATTTTTTCCGGCGGGGTTGCTGCCCATCGCTAATTTCAGCCAATTTCGGTATTATCACGGGTTAGTTGAGGCAGAGGCTGGCATTAGGCTCCAGAACGTGTTCCTTCAGCTTCCTTCAGCAGCTGCGGTTCTGCGCCTCAGGGGCCCTGGCGACGTTCGCATTGACGTCGGCGACTCCATGCCGACGCCCTCGCAAGAGCGGGAGCTGTATGCCCCTTGTGCAGCAACAAGGGGCCCGGCACACCGGACGCTTCTACACTGTGATGTTTCGTATGCTTTGTCACGGTTTCTGTGCAACGTCTCGAACTGCTGGAAAGTGATTGGCTCGCGGGACACCTAGCAACCTGAAGATGCAAGAGCGAAGATGCCGTACAGGAGGTTCATATAGATTCATTCTTGAAAAAATCGTGCGCCCTGGACCTGGATCTGTCTCCAAGGGCATTCATTCTCATTCGTTCGATGGGTGGTTCTGTTTTGGACAGCTTGTAGTAGCTAACAGATGCTAGCAGCTCAGCGACTGCAGCAGCGCATGCATGGCCCGGGTCAAGCTCGTGCGCAAAACTCTCAGGATTTGCTGAAGGTGGAGCCCGACGCAACGGAAGATGTTCTCAGTGCCTGGGATGCCATGAGAGCGTGATAGGCAGAGCTCCCACGGCAGAAGCTGCAAGGAGCATGTGGGGCAAATGCAAATGACGGTATCGAAAGCACAAAGATGGCATGCAGATATGGTGCGTGCTGTCGCGGTCCGACTAGATGGACCAAGAAAGATGCAGGATCATGCATGGGTATCCTTCAAGGCACTTGCAAGGAGAGCTGTTGTTGTGTTTTGTCCTTTCTCATTGTCAGGGGGTGCCTACAAACGCCGGGCACTGGAATTGCATCCAGACAAGGGCGGCAACGAGGAGGACTTCAAAGCGATGTTCCTGGTCTGCACCTGAAGTCCATTTGCTCTGGGGGGAGATTCGGACAGAGATTTGTCCGGACAAGCAAGTGCAGATTCAGATTTCACCACATTCCCTAGGCCCGTTTATCTCAGAGGCAAATCCCAGGCTGGGCTGTGGCTAAGTAGGCGGCGAGTACACTCGCATGGCTAGACTGGAGCTCTTGCTCCCCGGGACGCCAAAAGCCCAGCAGCTTCTGAGCCCCCCATGTCCGAGGAAAGGTGCCTACGATGCGAGGGGCTCGGTTGTGCTCAGGTGATTAGCAGCAGTCACAGGAAAGCTGCAGAAGTGGCACCAGCGGTTAAATATGCGGTCGAGTGTTAAGGTTCTCACTGACCCGGAGAAGAGGACAGTCTACGATCAGCATGGGAAGGCTCGTGAGGGATCGAAGCATAGAGACGGCTTGCAGCAAAGGGTCCCATCTAGCGGCATGGTGTTGAAGAAGGGCCTCCGAACTTTAGATGCTGACTTTCGCTGCATGAGCTGGGTGCTTCACATCATTGGTATCAGGAAGGCCTGCGGCAGCTGGAGATGGCCAGGCAGATGGAGGCAAATGGGCAGCTCGTCGGAAAGTGATGACCAGGGTGTCCGAAACTCCCACACCTGCTGGATCCTGAATCTGGGCAAGTTGACACGTTCGTCCATTGACAGAAAGCCGCACTCGAGTTTCACACTTCTCAGTCTTCCTGGACTCTGCGCACTGTCAATCCGCGCTCTAGGGGCTAGAATTGATTCCTACTGAAGCCGTAACGATTCGGCAGATCCGAAGTCGTTGGCTGAGGTTTTTCTCGCCGATTCAGTGGCTCCTGAGCCTGTCGCCAGGCAAACGACCCCAGGCCAAAAATGCAGGGCAGGGCTTAGGATGCTCGTGTTGTGGGGTTAAGTTGGCAAGTCATGAGAGTCACGAGACCCTGCAAAGCCGAGCCCGCTTCGGGCGCCACATATCAGCTGCCGCAGCCAGGCAGGCCAAGTTCCAGGTTTTTGCTTTGGGTGGTTGCTGGACACTGTGCCATTGAGGATGGGATTGTTAAGAAGCTCTTTGTTTTGCTATTCAATTTTCCGGGTGTCGCGTACCCTGGAGCTCACGGACCTGTTGAGACTCAGGACAAGTTCTGGCACTGCTGGTCGTGCTGGTGGCGCACTTTGGTCTTCCATTATGAAGAACTTAAACTCGTAATGAATTTTATGGGGTTGCAACACCGTGTTTCAGGCTATAGGGGAAGCTCGGAGGTTGCTCTTGTAAACGGCTAAGTACCCTGCAGCATCCTTGCCTGTCCAGGATGTTCTTCATGCTGCCCTTCGTGCTCACCACATTGAAGTGGGACGGAACTGCTGGATTTCACTGGGCCATTGTCCTGATCCCCGTGTGGCAACTTACCTCAAGAGTGTACGTCAGTGTCATTCAACGAAGGTCTCAACACAGTCTGGTGAGTGCTGCAGAGCCATCGCAACACTCTTGTTTGCTGACAGGCTGCTTCAGTTGCCCGTCTGGTGGGCAGCTCAGCATGTCATGCCGCCGAGTTCCCAACCGCAAACGTGTTCCCAAAAATCAGATTCGGATACTTGGGGTTCCTATGGTTGGGCAGTGGGACATACCAGATTGACCAAATAGGATGCGGGGAAGCGGGAAAGCTAAGTTTCCTTCAACAGTGCGTGGTGCCGGAGCCGCCACAGGGCGACGAGGAGGCACTCCGCATCCTGCCTACTTCAGCACTCCAGTTTTCCAGCATGTTACATGGCAAGCTTGTCTTTGCAGTCCAGCGCTCTGAGATGTTCGGTAGCATGAGCTTTTCTGTTCATGGGGCAGGAATGGGGCGAGGACGAGCGCACAAAGTTCACGCAGCAGAAGCAGGTACCACTAGCACGCGGGGGAAGCCGCTTAATGAACAGGGTTGATTTGTTATGATTTGTTGACCCCAAACATCCCCAAACTCTAGATATGCCCTCTAGCCCATGGAGTTTCAGATTCGCACAGGGCCCCGAGCCTTCCTGCATATGTGCAGTGCTTTGGATCGGCCTCCCCCACAAGGCTTGGGTTTGTGGGTTTACACCATACTTTCACCGTCACCATGGCTTTATTAAAGTAGGCTTGCAGAGTGTCTGAAGAGTGTCGCATCAAGCAAGCTCTAAAGATCGCAAGCCCCAGAACAGAAAGGCCAAGACAAAAGAAAGCAGTAAACATTTGTGCGGGTTTGATTCGGTTTCGTTTGCTTGTGGCTGCCTGTGTTCCAGTATCTTCTCTGTACAGCATGTGTGGTTCAATCCCCGTTTCTCACCAAGATACGAACGTTGTAGATGGCAGTCCGATCTGACTTGTTCAAGCCTTTGCTGGGCCTCTCGCCTCGGTATGTACTTGTCCTAGCGTCCTGCTACGATTTCCTTTCCCGACGTCTGACAACCGAATAGCCGTCAACGGACGGATCCCCGTCCACAGCCTGAGTGCTGGGGATTTCTATCGAAATTGACCTTCTCAGGTAGGGATCGCGAAGATTCAAGCTTGGTTTCATCTGTTGCTATGTCTGGCATTTGGTCCAGAGCCCGAGAGTATGACTTCAATCAGACTTCTTCGAGCTTGCTTTGCCCGAAAGCCCCGTTGCTCTGCAGGAGCACCACTGGCTCCGCTTCGAAGGCTTCGTCTTTTCGGGGCTCCTCCTCATCTTCCAGCTCTTGCTGCTGCTACGCTTGGAGGCCGGCCTGACCTGACAGAAACCCTCAGAGAAAGAGGTTTAGGGTTCAGGGTTCCGGGCGAGAGAAGCCTGCTGCAAAAGGGTTTAGGGTTTAGGGTTACTGTAGCATGCGTGCGGCATGGGAACTGGCGTAGCACGGGAGCTGTGCTGCTGCAACGTCAGTGTCTGTTTTGTCTTGCCGGCCAGAAGCATAATCCTGCCAGGACGACATCTCCGTTTCTTGGTTTGTAGTGCAGCTTGGACTCAATCGAACTTGGGGCACAGGCTGCACGAGACGGCTGCTACAGAAGTGGTTCGCATTGTTAAGATAACATGATGGCGACTGTTGTTCTTTGCTCTAACCTGGATCTTGATTACTGGATGACTGAGGATGTTGCCCTGGATCCTCCTGGAGGTTGGCTGTCGCAGATCTGTTTGGCTTCTTAGGGTCTTAGAACGGCTTCCTTTCAGTTGCCGGCTTCTGGCGATCCCAAAAACACGACAGGTATGGTGGGTGGTGCTCAAGGTCATGGTTGCTCCCGTCCAGTGGACAAGGGCTGATGCCACGGCTGCAGCAGAGGCGCTTGTGAACGCTGGCACTGCGCCCCCCTTTGCACTAACGCAGAAAAGCCCAGCTCACTGCAGTTTGCAAGCCACTCAGAACGGGACGGTGCAAACAAAGGTGTGGAAGTCATTGAAGTTCTGGTGCTTCCTGCTCAGTGGCTAGGTTGCACCGGCATGGACCTTATGAACAGCTACTGGTACAGGGCTAGGCCAGATGCATGTAGAGAACTGCTGGCTTATCGATGTGTCTCCAGCCCCAGCTGTAAGACGACTGATTCATTTCACTGCCAGAGTTGCTTAGTCTGGGTTCATGAGCAGTCGAGGCTTTGTGCAACTGGGTGCGATGCGGCTCGTTGCCGCCTCCTTAGCACATCTTCCTCATTTCCACAGCAGGGAGGTACAACGGTGCAAATTGCAGTGTGAGAAATGCCACAGCTCGAGCAGTCGAGCAGTGACGGGTTATGTTTGGAGTGGCACTTCCAAATCCGCTTTTACAATACGTCAAGGCATAAACTCCGCAGATCGCGCAGAAACTCCAACAACCCACCCTACTGCATGCTATGTCCAATCGAGGCAGTCCTGCTGCTTGCAGAGTGCGCTGATTCTGGCAGCACGTCGTGGCAGCTTGGCATATGGTGTATGAGCTGTGAGACTACATGCGACTAAACTCGAGAAACCCGCAGTGCAGACAAGCAAAGAGCAGCAGAGAGTAGGATGACCAACATCTCTTCGAGTGGCGGTCATCAATTTGCGAAAACGAACTGTGGCAATCAGTATTGCGTCAGTATTAAGTATTCTCCCGACTGCAGCAGAAGGGTTCTGGTTCAAGGGATATGGGGTCTGGGGGTCAGAACCCTATATCATCCACCGGACGGCCCGCAAGCTCCCCCATCAGGTTTCAGTCTGTAACGCACTATCGTCGAGCAACCTCCTTGAAGTTCCCACGGTGTCAGGTGGGTCGCCCCTGTGCCCCTGTACGTTGCTGCTGCCTTCAGCATCATCAAAGCAGCAGTGGAACCTTGGCTTACCCTTGTCCGTCCTCGAGCCAGTGGTCTGGGGCTAGGGCCCAGGAAAAACTGCGAGGTAGCTACGGGCATCGTTTTGCATGGCAATCGGCATTCGTTGCTGATCAGTTGCGGCCCTGTCGCTGCCACCGGAGTGGTTGGTGTTGTGATTGCTGAAGTTGCAGCATGGTCGTCAAAGTGTTGAAAGCAGATCACTACCAAGCCATATGGAAACATGAGCCGGGCTTTAGTCTTAGATGTTTACATCCGTGGGTTTTTTTATGGTGTTGAATCGGTCCTCGGTGGTGTAGAAACGATTGCTGAGTAGAGCAGAGTTGTCGAGCGTAGTTGGACACAGAGACCTGGCCTGGCGGAGTCCGAGTTGCGAGAGCGTAAACATGAACCGGGTGAGCTGAGCCTGTCATATCCTACACGGGGTACTGGGCCTCCTGTGGCGATTGTAGTGAGTGTGGCTCAAGTTCATTTAGGCATACCATGGCTTCATGAAACTGGGGGTTTAGGGCTGTTTGTTATTATAACTTGTTTGGATCCCGACCTGGGAGTTTGCTTCCCGAAGTCCTGGCCGGGCCTGGTAGTTCCGAGTCGACAGCGAGTTTAGGGCGACCGTCTCCTTTTCCCGAAGCCATCGTCTCAAGAAGGAAGTCTGCCATGAGAGAGCACAACCTTGTGCCTCAGCAGATTCCTCAGATTCCCTGATTCCGAAGCCCTTGAGTGCTATGGCACTCCAGATCTATCTATTCGCGTCTATAGTTGTGCTTATGTCCTCCATTCCTACTTCCATTCTTGTTCGGAAGTATGCGCATGTGTTTATGAACATTCGATTCGTCATTATGCGGCCACAGCCAAGGACACTTGCGGCTCATCGCCGCAACCGAACTCAGGCGACCCTGGGCGTTGGGTTGCGGGTCTGGCCATGACATGGGCTTTAAGAATGTTGCCGATGAGTGCTGGTGTGTGATGGGTTTTTGTCGTTCGTTGGCACGACGAACCAACGTTTGTGAGGTGTTTCTTTTGTCTTGATTAGTTCGACTTTGTAGATTATTTGGTCAAAGGATGGACTTGCGTTGGCCGTGAATGCCCAGCAATTTGTCAGAGGAAAGAATAAGGAGGGTAAGCGGGACGGGGGAAGAGAATGTCTTATTCGACCCTGATCAGGTCCTGATTAGGGGAACCAAGGCCTCCTGCCACCCTCCCTCTTACCCCCTACTGTAAGGGTCTTAAGGCGGGGTTGCAACATGGTTGCGGGTTGGTTTCAGGCTGCGAGTTTCGTGAACCATGCTTGGCTTCACGAGCATTGAAGCTTTCAGACTTGAGGGCTTGGCAGATCGCAGCAGAAATCAGCTAGGAGGCAAGGAGCTTGTTGTTTGACAGGTCCCGCAATGGTGGCCACCAGCCTGAGTGTGGCTGCATGGTTGACCATGGTACTCCTGGCCGTCGGCAAGCTGGATGGACACTCGAAAGCAAGAGGCAGGTCACTACTCGTAGGCTCGTAGGTGTACCTGACTTTGAGGTGGCAACTATTCTGCTGGATTGGTGTTCTCGCCGATCTTTGCCATCTTTGGTCTGGCCACCAAGCAGCAAACAACACTAGCCGAAAAGGCTTATGAGCCTCGAGTCATCGCGAATGCTCAGGTGACGTGCTGCTTTTGCAGTGTCGTTGGATGGTGCCCGCGTGATCAGTTGGAAAACGTGGCCAAACAGGCGGGTGAGACCATTGGTCGTTCTGCAGAAACTGAATGAAGCGAAAGGGATGCTGGGTGCTAGAACCTCGGAGCCAGATGACGTTAAGCCGACAGCAGCTCAGCGACACTGGCATCATTCGGCTGTGCTTGTCCGGTGCTTCCGCGCGGACGCACCATGCATAATCAAACTAGCGCCTCCGCGCGGGAGCACGGGAGCACAGACCGCGTAGATAGGGTAGAAGTAGGCGCGTACAGGCGACGGACCTTTGTTGCACGCCCTTTCTGGGGCGTGCAAGTGTAATTATTCGGTCGTTATTTCCATGGGTGGCTCCAGGATATGCCGACTCACAACGTGAGCGGTTTTCAGCGTGCTGAGTACCTTGGCGACGGAGCATAGCTGTAAAGTTGTTGCCTTCGTGTTTGATTCCCCGACCTGGCTCAAGTCTGAGCACGCACCACTCCTGGGATGCCGCCCTTGGTGATGAGGCTACGTTGACATGTCTGACGTCCGTTGCGAAGCACGGCGGTTCGACTCGTGCGGTGCCTCATGAAAACAGTGCAAGACAAAAATCAGCTGGGATTGTGTTCTTCCGTTGAAGCTAAGTTGAGATGTTAACTATCATGTCTCGAAGTCTGTTTGGAAAGTGCCTGTTTGCTCAGCACATCTAGGCTTGGGGAGGAACCGACCTTGTTCTTTCAACACCATGGCCCCAAGCACCATGATGTCGGCGGCAGCCCTGGCGGCCTGCGCGGCCCCAGCAATGGCCTTTGTGCCAGCCGGTCAGAGCCTGCGGGGCTCCCCAGGCAACGAGCCTGCAAGCATGGTTCAGGGCAGCTCTCGCTCGAGCTCTTATGCCTCCACAGGCCTTGCCGCAGCAACTGTGGCTGTGGCCGGTGCCACAGCTCTGTCCAGGCCAATCCAGCGTCGGGTTGAGCGAAAGGTCGTCGGGGTTTGCTTGCCTTTGACTGACAAGTTTGACCCGCTGAACCTGGGCAGCACGGATGCAAAGATGGAGCGATACACTGCCGTTGAGATTAAGCACGGCAGGGTTGCCATGATCGCCGTCGTTGGCTACATAATGCCGGAGATCTTTCGCTTCCCAGGATGCGAAGACTTCAAGCACGGCTTAGGTGCGCTGGAGAGCATCCCCGTTGAGGGCTGGGTGCAGCTCTTTGCTTTGGTGGGTGCTCACGAGGTCCTCGTGAAGCCTCGCGAGGGAGGCCTCGGTAGCTTCGACTTTGGCTTGGGCACCGAGCTCTTGGATGGCATCGACGACGAGGAGCTGGAGCGCAAGCAGACCTCCGAGCGCAACAACGGCCGCCTGGCGATGGTTGCTATCCTTGGCCTCATGTGGCAAGATGGGACTTTCGGCGAGGCTCCGCTGAGCTACATGAACAAGTACGGCTTCTGGGGGGAGCCGGTGCAGTACATCGTTTCGCACATTGCGAATTGCCAGTCCTTCAGCGGCAGTTATGTGGACAATGGAGGCTTGTGCGCCCTTCCTCGGGGCCGAACCAGCATGCAGGCCGTGCAGAAACTCTCCGAGGGTGTCTGGGTTGAGAATGAGACCTACCCGAAGGAAATGGAGATGTCTCCTTCTGTGCCCTTCCTCAGGTATCCGCAGGTCCTCAAAGGTTGGGTTGGGGACAAGGGTTTCGATCCTCTCGGGGTGACGGATGCGCTGCCAGTCTACTGGGTGCGAGAGGCAGAGCTCAAGCATGGGCGTGTCTGTATGCTCGCCACGGTCGGATGGATTGCTACCGACCTCGGTGCAAGATTCCCAGGCGAGAAGTTCCAGAGCGTTGCGAACAGCGTCGAGGCCCACGACAAGATGGTGGAGGCCGGCTACATGCTGCCTTTCCTGGGTGCCGTCGGAATCTTCGAGCTCTTCTCCCTTTGGCTCTTCTTCCAGTCCTGGCCCATTGGGGATGGCATCAACCGCGAGGCCGGGGACTACTGGCTCGGCAAGCAGTTCCTGCCCTTCGGAGACGTTAGTGCTTTTAAGACATGCTGACAATTGTATCTGTTTTTATGATGAAATTATCATAATGAGTGGCAGGTCTTGGAACCTCTGAAACAAGGTAAATCAATTCATTCTGTGAGTTATCTGAGAGAGACAGTGAGTCAGAGAGGTATGTGTGAGTTTGGTGAGATAGACTTGGGGGTTGTGAGTTTCTTGTGAGCGGTAGGTGTGATGATTCTGTGAGCTTTGATGTGAGAGGATTTGAACGGAGTTTGTGGAGCTGTGAGTTTCTTGTGAGCGGGGTGGCAACTCAGAGAATTCTGTGAGCGGGCCTAGCGGGGCCCGCCTAGCAACTCCCAACGGCCGGTGCCCGCTTTCAAGCCCGCCCACAGCCCTGCTCAGACAATCTCTCACAGCCCCACTCACAGGCCCTTATCAGTTTCGATGTTGAACTAAGCAGCGGCTCCAAGTTCAGAAGCCAAGGCCTAAGGAGCCCGAAAAGGAGAAGGACATGCGCCTGAAGGAACTGGAGAACGGGCGCCTTGCCATGTTTGCCTTCAGTGGCATTGTCACCCAGGCCGTCATTACCGGCAAGCCTTGGCCTTTCGTGTGAGGTTCCTACGTACTTTTTCAACCCGTCGGAGGGCGAAAGCAATAGGATGCCTAGGTCTTAGGGCGGATGCAGTGGCGCCTGCCACGCCACTGACTTCGTGAAGAAAATGTGCGCTGCCTCCAAGACATGCCACCGGCAACAACTTCCCCAACCATTCAGCATGCAGTGAGAAGGCCGAGGATCCGCCTCAGTGTCGGAGGTGCGCCAAAAAGCTCTCTGATTGGATCCGAGGTCCATGCCCTCGCGAGGCTCAAAGTCTCGTACCGGCCTCGGACGGTTCCTCTGCCACTGACGTGGCACTGCAGCAACGCATGCTTGACAATCGCGGACTAGAGTCGGATTTGCAGCATCGACTGCCTGACATGAAACCCTCCCTGCTGGTGCCACGAAGTCTTCTAGGCAATGCTCATCGGTTCATGCTGAGACAGTCATCCAAGGAGCCGCCCGAGTGCAGAGCCTATCCTCCTAGCAGCCATCAAGTCCCTCGGCTCAACCCTTTTTCAGACAAGGACAGGGATGTAACGCAAGATGTGTTTGCTTCATTATGCCTGTTCCTCAAAGACTTGTGCACTGGTGCAGACACACCTATTCCAACAGATAGCCGGCAAGATATCGCTTTACAGCTGCATCTTTCTTGGAACTTTAGCCGAACCGCTTCCAACAAGAGCAGTACCTTTGTCGTGTACTGGCCGAGGACAGTTGTACTCCGTCTCGTCAGAACAATCAAGGCAAAGATGTGCACCTCGGAATGCTTTCCTTCAGCACCCCACGCAGCAGGAAACAGGTCTCTTCTTCCAACCAGAACCTACCGCCAACGGTCAGTCAAAGGTCTTGGAATTCGGTCCGCGTGTGTCGCGAGAGAGAGGGGGAGAGAGCGAGAGAGAGGGCTGCACCCGCGAAACGGGTGGGGTAGGCCTTCGGGCCAGGGGAGGTCCTCCTCCCCTCCCCATACCCCAAGCAAGCAAGCAAGCAAGCAAGCTGTACCGAGGCGTGAGCGCAGGCCAGACCCTCAGCTTCTGATAGACCCGCTTCGACTTGATTTCGATGTCCAGCATAAGCACGGGGAAACTAGAAGGCGAGCTGCAAAGACAAAGCCGTCCGGCCAAGGTCCCTACGGAACCGGGAGGAGGTGTTGGACTGGCTCAGGGACTCTGCAAAGAAGCGCAGGCGAGGCACCGTTCGAGCACGCCACGGCTTCAGGGCAAGGTTTGACCATGTCTTTCAGTTGACAAAAGTATCACAAGATTCTACAACCTACTGTAGTGTATTATGATATGCCATCTTATGATATGAACATACTGTAGTATACCATCACAACCTATCAGCCCACAAGCAGGTTGGGCTTTGGCGAGTTGGACTTTGCCCAGCAGACATTGGCAGATCAGGCGGGCCGCCAGTCGCCGCAAGCGCTGGGAGTTTCCGAAAATTAGGGGTACCATATTTTGGGGGTCCTTATAATAAGGATCCTATTATTTAGGGTACTATATTAGGGTCCCCTATTTTCGGAAGCCCCCGTATACTGAGAATCATTATGACTTATGAGTCGGATTATGAGTGTGGCAGGACATCAGGGACACGAAGGGCATAATTTTCCCCGACCGTAAGGGGAAAGGAAAATGCAGTGTGTTTGGGCGAGCTGCTTTTGCAGCCTTATTACCTTCGATATCTACACTCCCACTGATGACTGGTGGCCACCAACTTGGTTGCTTCGACTGCCACGAGTAGCTTTCGTTTTCTCAACTATTGCGACTGGCCACCACCACTTCTGCAAAGGTCACGCCACACGGAGTCTTCAGATCCCGAGATATGTAGGGGTGTGCAGGCAGCTGTGGCGCTAGGAACCCACCTGCTTGTGCATAAGTTGTTCTTGTAGACCCTGCGCATCACCACATTTGTCAGAACTCGACACATTGGCTTAAATGTCAAACGTTTGAGTGCGATTGCTGCCCCTGTTCATCCGAAGGTGTAAATATGTGCTGTTCGTGTCTTCATTATCGTATTCTTTATGGCTTTAGCCCATCGATCAGCTATGCTCGACTTTCACTCCCCGTGGCCCAACACAACGTTGGGGTGGGCCTGGCGCCCGGGGATGCTGACCCATCCCCATGCCCTGGAGAGAGAGAGAGAGAGAGATATATATATATATAATGGCTACGAATTGAGTGCTTTAGCCTTCTGAAAACAGCCATTAGTCGATGGTATTCTGACTAACGGATGTCAGATCTGGAAGGAGGGCTGCGCATAGCGCTGCCGAGTCAACTGGTTTGCCCATCTGACTGGCTCTTCGGGATATGTTGGTAGCAGCACTGGTTGAAAGTCGAAGGTAATGTGGCAAATGAGTGCTTGGCATCTTCGTTGTCGCCTGTGACGTGAGCTGGAGATGGAGAGATCGCGAGAGTGTCACTGTATCTGTTGCGAGCTAATGCGCTCGTTGTTTGTTGGGTTAATTGACCCATAACCTGTAACTACCGAGACTCTTAACCCTCGCCTGCTTGTCGAGTGCGAGTGCCAAAAAAAAAAAATATATATATATATATATAAGCCATGTCCCATGTCCTTTCTTGAGAGACCTGTCCACCAACGCATGTTCTGGAACTGTCCTCCTCGATGGCATAGGGGTAATATTTCTCAAAAAGAGGAGATGTTGCCCCTTTTAGGACCTGGCAACGGCTACATGGTCTTGACTCTGTCGCATCTTCCAGGCTAGACTCATGGCTTCGACCGCCCTTTTCGTGGCCTCAATGGGTGCGACACTTCTCGCAATGGCCTTGGCGCGTGGCTTTAGAGAGTTTGACTCAACTACCAGTACTACAAATACAGCGACCGCCAGCACCACCACGACGACGACGACCATTGCTACTACCACCACAAGTACAACAACAGCTGTTACTACTACTCCTGCTCCTCTTCGCCTCCTCCTCGTCTTCCTCCTACCACTGCTACTACTACCACCACTACGACGACGACGACCACTACTACCCATCATCACGAAGTCGCGCTTGATTTGTCCTGTATGCTTCACAAGAGTTCACACTCGTCTCACTCTTCGTTCTTTTCATTTAGCAGCTCGGATCAGGCGTATCGTGGGCGTGACTCTTTCTGGGTCCCGAATCTCCAGGATACCATCAGGACTGAGATGGCATCATCTTGTTGATGTTGCCACTGCCGATCTGGCTATCAGGGGCTTAGGCCGGTCGCAAGCTCTCCGACGTGCCATTGCCGAGGCTGGGATTCTCCTCCCAGCAGAGGCGGCAGTGATCGCTCTGCCTGCGTGCCACAAGGCCGGAGCGTGGTGTGAATGATTTCGTGCTTAGTATTAGGATCGCACCCACAAGGGCCGCCAGAGTCCCGTAAAAAAGATACCACAACAGCTTTCGATCCATCCCAGCATGAGTGAGCTAGCCATGCGAGCGGTACTCTTCAGGCCCTTCGGTGCTCCTCGACTGATCCTCTTAGGGGACAGACTGATAGCTACACAACTTTTTCTCACACTATCGATATGTGTGTATATTGATTTGTATTCATTTGTTTTTATATTTATCTATATAGAATATAAATGGAATTTGTACTTGAGGGTTTCTTCAGAATTCTTTTGTTGCTGCTTAAGCTCCGAGGTGGGCCCTGGCAGGACGGTGACCTGCGAGACCGAACAGATTTTGGCTGCATGCGGCCTGCGATGGGGCGAGCTTGGAGCTCAGAAAGTCATATGTGCATGCTGCGGATGTGTGTATGTACGTCTATATAGTAGACATATAGAGATATACATACATATATATATATATATAGACACGCATGCACAGCAACAGTGCAGCTTAAGAAACAGCTGATTCTTCGCGATGGGACATCCGAATTCTCAATTTCAAGCGCATGTTTGTGATGTCAACAAAATTTCCGGACTTGAGTTTCTTAAGTTGAAAGGGCTCTAAAATTAGCCCGTCAGAATCTGAAAAAACGAGGCGCAAGCAAAACGACCGCGGGACTCGAGCCCGACAGTGACTTCCGAGTTGAGTTATCCGCTGGCCCACTAACTCAAGCATCGCATCCTTCCAGCAACTTTCAGGCCATATTCCTTCCTCTATAGAGCGTGTATTCAGCCCGTACCAGAACCGCTCGAGCTCCTCAACCCCAAAAAAGGCTCTCGGGAGGGATACCTTGGACCATACGTCGAAGTATCTCTTCTGCAGATGCCTTTGCGATTTCAACAACTTGTAAGATCTCTTGTACTTCATGTTGGGGCATTCTTGGAAGTGTTTCGCCTCAGCCGACTACGCACCAATAACCTCGCGAGGCTGGTCCGAGTGTGAACGCCGAATTTCTTGTTTTGGTAGTTTTTGGTGGTTTTGCTTATTTGACAAATCGGTATTTAGCCCTTAAAGAGCCTGCAGAGCCCTCCAGTTCGCGCCTTATTATTAAGCGTTTGTTCGGCACGCCCAAAATCAAAACCCCCCCCCAAAACAAGAGAATGAACCCTGGCTTTAGAAGGCTTTGTCATACAGAAACAACCTCAAGAGTAAGAAGTTGACAACAACAGGGTGGAGGGCTTTACTGGCTCGCTAGGGGCTTGCTTAATAAGGCTTTGTCATGCAAGAAGAACACCCAACAACTGAGGGGCTCAATTCTATTTTGGGGGGTTTGGGCGGCGGTGTGCCGATTCAAGAAACTGAGGGGCTGATTGAGGTCTGCAGCCAATGACTTCTTCAGCAGTGCCGTCGCCTCACATACATGTCTATACATAGATGTACACACTGTAGTATGAAGCAGCGCATTGCCGGATATGTACAAGCATGCAGGTATCCATATACGTGCCTATATATATACAGAAGTAGATGTTCTGCCATATGTTTGTCTAGATTCTAGGTACCGTGTACGACTACATTTTGAATGCTTGTCCTAAAGCAGCGTTTCGTCAACACCGACACATCTCTTGAAGTCCAAGCTTTTTCATCGGACAGGAAAACGATGCTACATTCTGCCCAGCTGTGACTCCGTTAACGTACATGGAGTATTGCGGTGTTTATGTGAAAACCAGTACAAAGTAAGACTGGTTGCCGTTTATTGTCCACATTTGCTGTTTGTTCGTGCCTGCTCTTTTTGAGCCCACAGGAGCTGTTGCAGTCGAATCGGGGAGCTGACCAGACCTGACGCTAGTCCTCGCCTCCCAACTCCTTGGTTCTCAAATCTTGGCAGTCTCCGGCCTTTTTTTCAAGTGGATTGGTCGCCACATCTCCAGAGAACCGTACCCTAGTGCGCAAGAGAAGCAGGTATCCGGTGGAGTTTGACGACGTCTTCTACACTATCGGTCGCGGCTTCGATTTCACTGCACGTCATGAACTCAGCACCAAGCATGGGTCACCAACTCGAAAAAGCGTGCTGCAACACAAGCCGTGAGAGGCTGCATTTGTGTCGATGCCATCGCGAGGTCACGATGTCCTGGAATCATTGATGGACGAGCTGTTGCCCGAGACACCCTGGCTCGAGAAAATGGCCCACTAGCTGCTGAGTGGTGCTGCCCAGTATTCCGTGACAGAGCGGATTTCGAGTTCAGCTGCTGGAGAACTTGCCGGCTTCCTGACACGTGCTCAGCCAGCTTAGGATGAAAGATTCCAAACTCAAGACCTGGGTAGTTCTCTAAATTAGGGTCCCTTTTAAGGTCCTTTTTAGAAGGGTGCTACTATATTTGGGATCTAAAAAGGGACCCTAATTTAGAGAACTACCGACCTTGATCCAGGCTCTCAGCTGCTGGCCTCGTTGCCGAGTAGATCGTAGCAGGCCCTGCCATGGCGTCGCTTACCGGGAAGGACGGATTGCCAGGGATGATAACGATGAAGATGGTGGTGATGATGATGGTGATGGTGATGTTGATGATGATGGGCTTTACTGACAGTAATCGTTGCAGCTCCTCTTTCTGTCTGTTTGTCTCTCTCTGCTCTGCCATCGAGGCCTTCACATGTTCAAACACCAACGAGAAGATCTCAAACAGGCAAGTGGTGCAATACACACCGCAAGCCAAGCTGCGCAACCCTAAACTCCACAAATAGCAATCTCGGACACTTATTGCCATGCCTGCAGTTGCGAGTGTGTGAGTCGAAACTCCACAAACCGCGAACCTGCGCGCGGATCCCCCTGCACAACGACCGTCACATCTGGAAAGCTAGGCTTAAGAGTGCTGCAAGACCAACCGAGTTTGCCCTGCGCAGACCCCCACAATGACCCGGTGTTGATGAGATTTGAGGATTCGATTATATTTTTTGGTGGCGTAGCTTATCTAGGGTAAGTTAGTGCCCCTAATATCCTGGGGATCTATTAAATAAAATACTTGAATTGAATATTCGTCTTCGTATATTTCTGAAAACGGAACTTGCATATCCCAAATCGAAAAATATTATAGATTAGAAATTACAAATAATATAATATATATTGAATATAATAAATTGTATTTTATACGTTAGAAATTATATAGTATATATTTTATATCTTAGAAATTATATAATATATTTTTTACATTATATATTAAAAGATATATTATGATAAATCATATATTATATAAAAAATATATTTTATATGATATGTATTATATATTATATTCTGTAAATACTTTATTTGAATTTTTTAAAATTATATATACATATATAATTCTAATATAAATTTGTATTTTTGAATATTATATATATATATTCATAGTATATTTTGATTTTAAATAGAGATTCAATTTTCGGTGTCTTTAAGCCTTTGATTTTTCGGATGTTCTTATATTTTTCTATATTTCGAATTCTTTCATGTTTTAAGTGTCTGAATTTGAATACTTTAAATTTTTTAGTTTTTAGATTTTTTCGGGTTTTATAGAACTTCTGATGGAATTTGTCTGATTTTTTGGTTTTCGGATTTTTCTATCGAGGAGATAATTTTGCGATTTTCACATAAAAAAATTAATCTATTCTATGTTTTCTAGTTTTCAAAATATTATTTACAAAGAAATATTTTTCGCGTAGTAATTTCGATGATTTTATATAAATATTTCAATTAGTTCTGGTATTTATCGGTGATCTTTTTATTTTGGTGTATATAATAATGATGGTGTTGATATTTGTTCTTTATATTGGAATGAGTTCTGTAAGATAGTTTGGTCGAATCTTTCGTTTGAATGATGTAATTTCTGAAGTTATTTTCTTTTTTTTAATATTCAAAAATTATGATATTTAAAATATTTCTATAGGTATAAATAAATAGGGAAGAAAAATAATTTAGATTTTAATATAAGAAGAAAATTATTGTAGAAATAGATTCTTAAGGAATTTCTAATAAAAATAATTTGTTATATGATAATAGCGCTATATTAATATATTTCTTTTTTTATTATTTTATTTTTTAATTTAAGATTTTGAATAATTTATAAAAAGATAGTAGAGCTTTGAGTTATTGAGATTAATATCTTTGAAAATAAATATTGAGATTCAAATCTTCGAATATTTCTTTTATCTTTATTCTATGTTGTATTCTAGATTTTTTAATTTAGATTTTTCGAATTTTGCGCCGTTATGGAGTTCTAATCATTGGATTTAATTTTGTTTCTTATATTTGGGAGTTGTTTGAAATTTCTGGGGTTGGGAGATTATTTCGGATTTTCGGAAAAGAGGAATATTAGGCCGCTTGAGAAGCTTGGGTTTGGGGGGGAAGGAGAACGCCCCTTTGAAATTCAGGCCTGGATATAAATTATTATAATAATAAAAATAAAGGAAGATATATCTAAACATTTATATTAGTAGAAATATTTTCAAATTAAAAAATAGAAATTTTTGAAAATATATTGCTTATGAGATACTCTATATATATATTCTTTAAAAATAAAAAGAAGTAAAGATATATATATATTTTTTTTATATATATAATATCATTTTATATTTCTATCGATATTTCTTTATACAGATGGATAGGCTTGCACCTTAAAGATTCCTTATAAAATTTCTGATTTAGGATATTTTATATGGCCAATATTATGCTATTAAAGAAAAATTAGAAAATCGGCAATAATTAAAATATATAATGGCAAAATCTAATTGAATCTTAAAGATGACCTGGAATAGACGCTTCAAATTAGGGAATTAGATGATAGTTTTGAAAGTTAAATAATCTAAAGCGGATCATAAGTCTTATGAATTAAATTCATATATATAATAATGGATGCTATATTTAAATTGCTGAAATAATTGAATACTATAGATAGCTTTTAATGGGATTAAATGATGCCCAAAGCATTCACGAGCTTAAAAAAATAATTTCTAGACTTCTTCAGTAGGAGATGATAGATGGCAAACGGATCCTGAAAATTTCACGAATTATAAGATATTTTATTCTTAAATAGTCGTCTATGGAATATATTGAATATGATTTTAAGATTCTGCAATATCTAGTCAAATTATAGCTATTGATGATATTGGGCTGGGGCGATAGTCATCCGAATTTAATTCGGTATTGAGGGCCAATATCCATGCAAATTATATTTGCTGATCTTGAGCATTAATCTAGAAGTTTATTCTTGAGATATTTCGATATATATCGAAATTCTATTTCATATTATAAAGATAAAATGAATATATATTGTTCATAAGATATTCTATATATAAATATTATCTAAATATCAAAGACAGGTCTAGGCAAATATATATTCTTTTTATATATAGAATTATTTTATATCTATATAAATATTTATTTATATAGATGATTAAGCTTGCTCATCAAAGATTCATTATGGAGTTTCTGAACGTTTTAGGATATAATCAATAAAATTGGAAAGTCGGAAGTAATCAAAGCATATGATATATGGCAAAATCTAGGGGAATCCTAAAGATAGTATGGAAATAGAAATCTCAAATTATGGAACCAGATAATGACCCTGAAAATAAGATCCTCTATAGTAGATCATGGGTCTCATGGATCAAATCTATATATGAAATAATGAATATGATATCCAAATTGTTGAAATAAATGGATGCTATAGATAGATTTTAATAAGAATATATGATATCTCAATTATCCACGAATTCAAAAAAAAAATGATTTATAAATCTCTTCGGTAGGAGATGATAGATGGCAATCGGATCCTGAAAATTTTACGAATCTCAAGATAATTCATGATTTCTCATGATTTTAAATATCTGTCTGGCAATCTATATATCATGATCTTTATTAATGATTTCTCAAATGATCGTCTATGATATATATTGAATCTTAATTTAAAATTCTGGAATTTAGATATAATATATAAAATATGAAAAAGATATTATTATAATTTAAATATATATTCATATATATATAAAGAAGCATATATTCATATTCATATAATTTGGATTTAAATCTGCCAATTTATCTGGATTCATATTATTTATCTATAATCTTATCTATCTAAAATCATCAACTTGAGCATGTGAATGATGCGGGTCAATATCCAATCAAATTATAGCTAGTAATGATATTAGATTCGAATTCAATCCGGAATTATGGACTAATATGTATATATATTAATTTTATTATTCTTATGGATCAATACCTATCTAAATCTATTTTATTTTTGATTATATTTCGATATATATCGAAATT